TTTCATAGTTTATAGAAATCTTAAATAACTTGTGTAAGTTTATAAGTAAAAGTAGAAGTATTAGGGTATTTAATATGGAAGATGTAGAAAGATATGGGTATTGATATTATAGTATTGTGGCCTTAGGCCATCTACATGGATAGATAAGGCAAGGATAAGAGGATCTTCACTCTCATTGGCTATAGGTCATGACCAATGAGCTTCAAGGGGCTGTCTGAGAGAAAACCGAAAGGGAGGCCACTTCTTCAGGGGCATTCGAGGGTTTAGAGGGGAGATTCAGAAAGCTTGTGTTTTGGGCTATAATTTTGGTGTATAAAGTTTGTTATTTGACTTTTGTATGAAGAAGTTAAGGTTGTTTGAAGTTAGGGTGTGAATTGTTTACCAACTGTCACTCTTTTAAGCATACAGAAAGTTGTAGACGGTTTTCTTGAAAACGGAAGATTTCGTTGGAAAGCTGGTTTGAAGGACTACAATTTTTGTGAAAGGGTTGTTAACTTTGAGTCTGTAATGAGAGAGTTATGGCTATTTAAAGTCTAGATATGAAATTTGTACCTACTGTCACTCTTTCAAGTATACAAAGAGTTGTAGAAAGGCATTTAACAATCGGAAGGTGAAGTTAGAAAGTTGACTTGAAGGGCTTCAACTATTGTGCAAGATTTGATGAAATCAGATCTGAAGTGAGGAAGAAATGGCTAGTCGAAGTCAGAGCTTGCAGATTAAGGAAGTAAGTAAACCGAATTGTTCATGGTTATGTTTTGAGCCATTTTGTTTTGAGCATTTTTGAATGAATTTTGGCTCGAACTTGCCAAAGGTGTAGTTATAATATTTAGAAGCTACACAAAAAAAATTTCATGTCATTTGAGTGTTGGGTTTGTAAGAAATCGCAAAATCAATATATAGGTGTTTGTAAGTCAACATGTAAAGGCCATGCTACTGAAATTGTGTTATCTAGAGTTTTGTAAAGAATCGACAGTTGAAATTCGGATATAAAAGAGTTAAGGGTACTGCCTTACTTCTCAAAAAATTTGAGCTCAATCTAACGGTTGGATTGAGAATTATCAAATTTTAAAGTTCAATGCATCAAAGGGATTCGGTATTGAAGGAATTTTGGCATTATAAGGATTTTACTACGACAAAAAGGGTTTTGGAAATTATGAAAGATTTAGAAATTATTGGTTGATTTTACTATTATTGGAGTTCTGGTCATTATTATTTATTGCTACAAATTTTACTATTACTAGAAGTCTGGTAATTATTATTTATTGCTATAACTTTTACTATTACTAGAAGTCCAATAATTATTATTTACTGCTACAACTTTTATTATTATTAGAGGCTTGACATTTGATGTTTATTGCTACTATGTTTAATATCATAGAAAGGAATACAAATAAAATTATAAATAATCTTGGAGTATTTTTCATCTTATGATTAATTGAGAATTTAGTGTCAGCCAAAAGCCTAGCGCTTTCTTAAGGCAAACTCTCCTTTCCCTCACAACGCACATAAAAATATGTAATTGGAATTGTTTTTTGGAAAGTTTTAGAATTGAAGTTAGGATGGTGGTTTATATGGAATCTACTATAAAATCTTTTAAAAAGATTTAGGGCAGTTATCATGGTGGAGCCTATCTGTAGAGTCTTCTAAAAAGATTGTTATCTTGGTGGAATCCAATATTAGAGAAATTTTAAAAAATTCCAAGAATAGTTGAACAAAGTATAAATAAGGTTGGCTAAGGCTATTTGGACATTTGGACAGGCATGGCTCCAGACTTTTTTTCTCAATAAAGTTTGGTTGTTTTTTCTTGTTTTGTTCTATTGGATTTTGTTTGGTTCTATTCTCTTTTATCTAGTCATGTTTTCATATTTTATTCCATTTAGTTACTTTTAGTTTTATTCTACTATGCTTGATCTTATATTGTGTTGAGATCTTTGTTGTTATGAAAAAGTCAAGATTTTAGACCTTAGACAATCCAATCATGTTTTAATTAAAGTGTAATTAATATTTGTACTGAGATGTTAGATAATCTTAATAATATCACATTTTTCTTAAAATATTCTAGGAAATGTGAAGATATTTTAAGAGAAAAAAATCCATTACATGAACAACAGATATTTTGTTTTTATTTTAGATCCAAAAGAAGCATCAAACCTATCATATTATCTTCAAATTAAAGAAAGATGTAATGAAGATGACTATGAAGTGGTAAGAAAAATGGTCCCTGAATGGATGGAAAAAAAGGAATAAAAAAAATAACGAAGCTAATGATCTTGAGAATCCAATAGTAGAGAAGTAACTATTTATATTAGTGATATAAACAAAAAAACATGCTTAAAAGAATAAAACATATCATGCCAAACTTGGTATAGATCATGGACTCAACATTTAAGACCAACTAATGGAATATACCATTGTATGTTGAAATATGTCTCAATGCAATAAATTTTGGGATGCCAATTTTTTTGATTTTTTGTAGTAGTAAGAATAGTAGTAGTCAAGAACAAATAATATTATATCTTACAATATATACCATATTTCAACATATGGATACAATTTCACCAAATACAACAGTAATTGATAAAAATAATATATACTAATAAGAGCTATTAAAGATGACTATTTGTGTTGAAAAAATGAAAAAATTGGTAGAGTTCAAGTAAAGTGTGATGGTTCTATGCAAAAAAAACTTAATTCAAATATTTTTTGCCTAAATTGCTTGAAATTTAATATTTTAATTTATATAAAATAATATATTCTATGTTTGAAGTTGATATCAAGGAAAAAATTGACATTGAGTATAGAAGATTCAAGCTTATATATGCTAAAAGTAAAAAGATACTTAAATATGTAGAAAATAATCAGACATGGTATAAATACCAATGAAAGCTGATATGGCAAATATAGACTATGTTAAATTGCCATAGATATGCCAATATAACTTATCGTATAGAATGCATGTGAAAATATGTAAAATATTCTCTTTTAAATAGAAAGGTGAATTAATGACTTTATGAATTCATCATTATATTAATAGACAAACAAAATATAAGATCGATATTCTTTGGAAGAATCACTTTGGTACAACATTATAATGATGCCGATATATTGAGTAAATAAGAGATGTATTCTTTAAGAGATTGAAACAAACAACAAACATTATCGTTGTAAAGAGCTAAGTAGTTAATTGAATGTTACAAATAAGACCAATTATCAAATTTAGAAGTTCTTGATGCATGATGCATAGAATTTGCCTTTTGAAATCCAAATATTTCAATAAAATAATATATAGTTAATTTATTTCGTGAATGTAGTGAATGTAATGATTATGATCCTATGTATAAATATATATGGGTTGTGAAATGGATTGTTAATGAAAAATATCTACATCTATTAGATTTATTATCAAACACATATAAAAATAGTGGCTTTTTTCATTTGAGGAAAAGATGTTCTTGATGATGGCTCAAATAATGGATCATATGATGGTCCAAGCAACAAAGTAGATAGTAGAGTTTAGATTCTTAGGCATGATGTTTAAGTTTGCAAGTTGTTTAAAATAACTAATTTGATGACAATAAATAAGATGGAGGCCTTAACAATGGAACAATATTATGCATTCAATAAAGCAATAGAATCAATCTTGGAACTTTTAAAAGATATAAAAGACTTATTACTAAGACTTCTATAAATCCCTATGCCAAGAGAAGGTAGTAGTATCACTACTATACAAGTTCAAGTTATACATACTAAATTTAGATTTGAAAGCCAAAAAAAGAAGAAAAAATTAGATAATAAATAAGAATATGGTGGAAAGAATCTAATTGCACCAAAATTTGGTGGATTCAAAGTTTTACAACAAAGACAAGAAGTTGTTCAAAAAAAACATATACAAGTGAGACTACCAAAACTATGCAAAGAAGCATGTCCAAAGTATAGTGAACTAAATATATTTTTTTTATTGGAGTTACCAAAACTAAGTGCAAAAATTACTAATATATAATTGTAAAAGAAGATAATAGTGTTGCATTAGATAAGCAAGGATGCAATGTTGACTAAGATGTAAAATTTTTCTTCAAAGAATTAGATTTTTATTAAGAGTATGGATGTAAAATTTGGTACTTTGTATAAGAATTTGATTTGATTTGATGATAGTTCATATGTGGTATTTACCATTATATATAATAAAGACTCATTTTAGTGGTATCTTTTATGACCACACTATTATTATTATTGTATTGTATTGTATTATATATAATATATATATATATATATATATATATATATATATATGTACTTTATTTTTTTGTTGTAAAACTATTTAGATACACAATGCTTACAAAAAATGTTTTATGACGTACAAAATATTTTGAAGAGAAATTTTACAATATTTTTAATAAATTATGTGTAATTTAAATATTTAATAAAAAAATAAAAAAATAAATTTTAGCCAATTCTTATTTAATTTCTTGTAAAAAGAAATAATCAATTCTGAATCGTTGTTTATATAATATCTGTGTTTGAGAAAAAACTAATGAGTAAATTTTTTAAGTTGAAAAAATTCTTCCTGGGAAAAAAAAATATCGTGTACATGTACGAGTGCCGTTGTGTATGGCAACGAAAAAAAAAATTTGAACCAAGAATGATGGTTGAAAATTGGGATTGAGAGGCAGCCCCTGAACAAACTTCCGCACCCTTGTGAATGAGGGAGTAGAATATGGATCCGTGCGGGCCCAATCAGGAATGGGTTCTGAGTTCCCAACTTGCCGCCCTCCAACCTGCCCGCCTCTGGTTCCCTTCCGTTCCCTCTATGCGTTCCCAATAAATCCTGTAACGGCCAGGATTCAATCTGGAAATCTGACGGCCCAGTGGTCTCGAGCCAGTGTCGATTGAACAAGGAGGTTTCTGCAACACGATTCTTCGAGGGGATGCGAGGTGGGGGTGGCCTCGTGACTTCGAAGAAGGCAGGATCGAGGGATTGACAAGTGCATCATCGGGTGGGTGTTTGTTGTTGGGTTCTATAATCTGTGCGGGCGGGCGCATAGGATTGGCCTTACGCAGGGCGCGAGGGTTGGCGGAAACGGCTCGGATTGTGCACAGAATCCGTCCCACCGTCCACCGATTCTCGTATCTACCCTTCACTGAAATCCTGGTGTCGCCAGGTGACAGATTTTGCATGCCTCCTCAGGCTGTGGTACAGCTTGCCCTTGATCCGGAAAGGTCTTTAATGGTAGCGTCTCATCATAGCGGGATGTGGTCCACGCCCAAGCACTCGATTCCAGCCCGTGGAAAGGCCAAAGGGGTGGCTTAGATGTGTGCCCGCGGAGGTGTGTGTGCCGTGAGAGCCAATTACACAATGCCCACAGATCTGGACTGCCCTGTTTCGTTGAGATTGAGGGTGCGATTCGTTTCCCCGAGCAGCGTGATTCGGGGGTTTGTGTTGTCACGGGGATTTGGGCGTTCTTTTTTGATGAGCCGAGAGAGAGAGAGAGAGAGAGTGTGCGTGAGTGAGTGTGGGGGTGGAGTTGGTTTGGTTGGAGTCTATTTGAGGGCGAATTTGGATGCATGGCTGAGCGGAAGTGTGTACTGGATGTGATGTTGTGTGTTGGTTAGTTGATGTGTGTGTGTGTGTGTGTGTGTATGTGTATGTGTGTGGTGCGTTTGGATACTCGTCTTTCAAAATAATGAAATTTGTGGTGATGGGGAGGGTGCTTTCTGTGTGTACGTTCGTTGTTAGTTTGACACTAGTTTGAGTGGTGACTATCTTTCTCGGGCTGCGTCTGTTGTCGTTAGTTGATGATGTTCCGGGGGGTGTTATGTCGGAGTAGGGCAAGGCTTGGCTCAAGGTTTTTGAGAAGTGAGTGAAACTTCTTACTGTCATATATCTTGACTTATACAGCCGTATATTCGTGCTATACTCTCTATTATGACGGCGATTTTTCTTTCAGATCGTGTGCCCATTGCTGTTCATATCTATAATTGGCTTCTTCGTTTTGGGTATCGCCTTGGGCAATGGCGCGTGGCTGGTTTAAGTGTTCACTTCTTTATTCGTCGATGTACATGACCGGTCTTTTTCATGTGTCTCGTTTGACATCTCTGATCATTGCGAGTATGAATGATCGACTTATCTGCGATTGTGGACAGAGCAATTTTTGTCGTTGATGGCTGTAAGAAGTAGCATTTTGTTGCCCCTTGCACGTTGTTATTCTTTAAGTAATTTTAAATTATATTAAATTATATTTAATTCGCCGATCTTTACGGTGAAGTGTTGAAGGTTATATTCAGTGGTATCACCTTCGTCTTCTTCCTCCCCCTCCCCCTTTCTGTTTCGTTGTTATCTCCTTGTTTTATTTGTAAGTCTTAGCTTTTATGATGCATTTCGTGTTTTTGTAAGGTCATTTTTTTCCTAGCTGAGATGTGCATCCTTTTTGGCTATTGGGCATAAGAAAAAGCGCCTGCGCTCAATACTGGAATTAAGTTGTGGAAATCTGTAATATCTGTCATTATTTCTTGGAAGCATCGCATGTTATCTCTCTGCTTTGACGTTTGCATGTCTGTGCAGCGTCGTTCATAGAGTTGAGTTTCAAGCTGTGTGTATAGCAGTGAATTCATTGTGAAATGCTGCACATGGACTTTTCTTGGAGCGATGTTGGAGTTCCTTCGGTGTGGTGTTGCAATATTTGTGATGCTAATATGGTCTTGTCAATGTTTAGGGGCAAAGGCCTGATTATGCAGATGCTTGGTGTAAGCTTATGCTTGTACAACTTTTGCTATTGGCCTCCACCCCTAAATCTTGGCAAGACCTAATTAGCCCACAACATTGAATTGACCGGGACCGGCGACTAATCAGTACGAGCTCAAGCAGGAAGGCGTTCGGAGTCAGAAACATGAAAAGCCTAAATGTTTCGTTTCTCGTGAGCAGTGAGAACGTTAACACGGCTTGCGACCTTGATACCCACCACCAAGTTCAATGAGAATGTAACTAAGTTACCCTTATGCAATGTGCATGGATATCGGCTTCCTGGTATGTAAAAGATTGCTAGTTTGTTGCATAAACCTGCTACGTCATATTGACAGTCTTGTTTGCTATTCGCCGCGTGTGTTTTCATCCTCAAGCAAAACACAGTGGTCAGATTTTAGATTAGTGCTCGAAAAACGATGTGGATGTAAAGTAATGTGGATATGTAGTGAATATGCACTGATAACTGTCTTTGTGGAACAAATCTTTCAGTTTACCGCTTTTGTTCCCGAGTCTTGCATTGTGGATTTAGGTTATATATCTCAATTAGTTAGCGCCTTGGGTTTGTTATTTTAATGCATCTGAAATTCTATGTGCAACCTGCAATAAATCTACAAATTAAATAGGAATGAAATGCGTATGTGCACATGGTGTGCAAGCGTTTGGATTTGAAATTGTTGATATCGAAGAAGATTATTCTCCATTTTTGGGAATCAAGGGAAATTGTCAAGTGCTAAACTGATCATGAAGTCAAAAAATGAATTATGCTTATAGTCTTGCTTAACTACGAGCATCAGCGACCTGATTGGCACATTCGAACTCAATGGTGAGATTCATCAGCGTGGTTCGGTGACACGAGTTTTATAAAACTGGGTAAGTTATGATCCGTGTCAATGTATATGCACCGCTTGAATCATTTAGTTAGTTTTGTTACAACATTGTCTCGCATCTTATATGGCACTGACATACTAGAATACACTGTTTCGATTTAATCTCATGACTGAGGGAGGGATTAGACGAAATAAAATATGCACAATAATTGTAGACTAAGTATTTCTTTAAAGACGAGCATGTTACTTTGTATCTAAGACGTTGATAACAATTCCAAATAAATACATTTACAATTCAAAATACAATCTACACAGTATTTATCTCTGACATGTATAATCAATTGTATGACAAGATACGTACATGTGCAATCTCTCCACACAATAATCCTAAGAATTCTCAGGAATTACACTTATGAGTCCACGTCAAAAGGCCACGATCCAAAAGTCTTGCAAAAAAAATATGTTTGTAACAAAGAACTCACACTTAGACATCCTAACCTCTTGAAATTCTTGAAATAGTCAAAAGCAAAACAATATTATATAAATAATTAATTTTTTCATTTTTAACTGTTTCATCCGACATGACAGCTCATATGTTGATCCTGGCAATCATGTGATATCTAGTAAACCCATGTCTTCTAAAAGTAGAGATGTTTTTAGGAATTTCGTACAGAGTAGATCCTCGCAAGGCAAAGTCCACCCAATTTTATAATTTGCACTTCCATGTCAAAGTGCAAATTTTAAAGGAAGTGAAGCACTTTCTGACTTGGGGTCTCGATGCATAATATTCATGTAGAATTTTTTTACCCTTCTCATTTATGTAATTCACATATTATAACACATTTATATTTTGTGTCACATATCTCATTCATTAGCTTGTAGTTGTTAAGTATAATTTTTAAGAATTATTATGGATGAAGTTTGGAAAACTTCATCTACATATTACTTTTGCAAAAATCATCTAATCTTTAAATGCAATACCATTTTGAAAATGGCACTTACCAATGAAGAGCATGATTGTAACAAGGTTCTATTTTGATTGAAGATGAAAAAAACATTTGTGCAAGTCCAACGACCAATTTAAAAAATAAAATTTAAACCTTGAGCAATATTATGCCCTCTTAAATTTTATTCATTAAAGTGAATTGGTTTTGGATGGATATAAATGTATTGTAATTGCCAATTTTGTTGTTTACTATTACTTTGGGGTACATTTTTCACTACTTGTTGTCTATATCCCAAGTTGTGGTGAATCCAAAGAATAATAAACTTATGAATGACATCATTTTTGTCAATGACAATATTATGAAGCATTTCAAACCTAAGTTTTACTTTTGATAAAACTTTTATCTTTGGCTATTTCCAATGTAAAGGCAAAATAATATTGATTAAAGTGATAATAAATTGCTTACAAACTTTCATACTTGTTGAGTCATCCACACCAAAAGTTTATCCCTAGAGTCATAAGTGTCTCTTGTCCAAAGCCTTCTTAAGATAATTGCAACTTATTTAGGCACACACATCAATTGCGTTGTAATATTAATTAGTCCAAAACGAAGATTTCTCTTCAACTCTTCATGTATTGAATGACAAATGTATAGAAAAACTAAAACAAATATTCAAAAAATTTAACAAAAGTATTCAATATCTTCTAACATCACCAAAGTTGAAAATTATTTCTACATGGCTTTATATCATAAAGACTAGGCTCTCATCCAAAAATATTCTTCTTATCAATATTATAAACAAATATTTTTTTAAAACACATGTTCTCATTTCATAACTAAATAAATAATAGGATTTTTTTTTCAACTCTCATTTTGTGTTTTAAAATTGCCGAGGTTGATGTTTTTGATATTTTGCTTATTTGACTCTTTTGAAACATTTTATAAATTGTCAATTGTATTATAATCTCAATTGATTCTATTTCTACCTCTATAGTAATAATTATAACTCTAATGTAAGAATTACCTATATTGCATGATTTTTACAAAAAAAGATAATAATTAATTTAAATAAAAAATTAATATAAATATTAAGAAAATCATCCACTAAGAATATCAATAATAAAATAAAATAAGAAAATAACCAACCAAATAATGGTACATAAAATGACATTGATTTCTTAATGGTTATTTTTTAATAATATAATAATACTTACTTAAAATAAATAAGTCATAGATGATGATTCAAACTATTTTTTGTTTAAAAGGATATTTTTAATTTTTTTTATGATATCACTCAAACTACAAAGAAAATTTATATAAACCTATTCCATGGTAGTGGTACTATCTATTCTTTTCCATTCAAGTTTTATCATATTAAGATGGTGCAATTCCATTGATTGTAACTTTTGTTTGTCTAAGTCGATGATTTTTTTGTAACAAATATCCTCTTAATTATGTCCACTACTAACAACTTGAAAAAATTTAAATCTAATCTTACTTCTAGAAGCTAAATCATTATTTTCAACCTTCATTAATAAGTAATATTTTTTGGTAGAATAATCAATAGATAATTTATTACCATCTGTAATTCATAAAGATATCATTGTTAAGTATTAAAATGCCAAAAAATAATTGTATTCAATTTACACAACAAGTTTAAAAATATCTTAATATATGATATTTACATGTATAATATCCAAAAAATTAAATATGAAGTTTTAGAATGAATTAGTCAATGGTACTATCATTTCATTGTCAAAAAGAAGACTTCTAGTATTCTTAGCTTGCAAGGTTTTAGAAAACTATTTTAACAATAGTAGGTAGATGGTTTGATTTAGTGGTATTCTTGAAAATCTTCCTGGATAGTTTGTATTGTCCAATATGCTCATAGAAAAATAACTCAATTAATTAGAGGGTATTGTTTTACATAATCATGTACTCTATTAAGGTCTAGTGATAATTGTTCCAATTTATCTTGAATTTTTTGTTAGTTCCTATGCACAACCCTTCTCCATAAAACATCTGTCATGACTTTCTACCTCTTTGATACAAAAGTGATTTACACACATTGTGATTTGGTTGGCCTATATTTCTTAAAATCTACATTCTTAAAATGATGCATAAAGTCTTTGCAAAGAACCAACTCCTAATTTTGTAAATTCTACCAAATTCACTACTATGAGCTAATTCTAATTCAACCTCAATCTCATCTTGTGATTGTGTTTCAAGATTTACTAACTCATGATTCCAATTGAGGTTAATGGAGACCTTTAAGAACACATTTTCTACACAAGAAAATTATAGTAAATATTTGAAGAATATTAATTAAACAAATTAAATTAAATCTTATAAGGTTTCTAAAATAATAAAAATCAATAAAAACGGACTTCATATGAAAAAGATATGTAAATTCAAAGTTTAGGTGTGATTTTGAGGTTTAAACTTCAAATTGATTCCTAGACAATTTTGTTTTGTTTTGTTTTGTTTTGTTTTTTTTTTGAAACAAAACCTCATTACGATCATGCTCATTATTGTTAAGTGCCATTTCTGAATATCACCATACTTAAAGTTTGGATGATTTTTACATAAGTTACATGCAAATAAAGTTTTAAAATTTTTATCCATAGCAATTACATTTTTTATATTATTTCAAGAAATATGTGACAAATGTAAATGTGTTAAAACATGTGAGTTATATTAAAATAAATGAATAATAGTCCAACAAACTCATCTTATTTTTCAAGCTTGATGTTCACAAGCTCCAAATACACAAGCTCCAAATTCTTTTAAAAACATTGTAAGCTTCTTTGCCTCCAACCACACTTTTAAGTATTGAAAAGAAGTAAAAAGTGTTTGAAATTTTCTCTTAAATAGGCAAGTGACCTTTTATAGGTCATAAAAAGACCTAATGACTTCATATTGCAAGTCAAAAGTCCACCAATGTATTGGTGAAATGCATATAAGAATGACATTTTTTATTGTGAATTTAATATTACTGCATATTAATCATGAATTACAATCTAAATATTTTGTAAAATTAATAAATATTTTAATGATATATACACTTATCAGATATTCTGTGAGAGATTATAAAGATGAATAAAGATCAATACAAAAAAAAAAGTCCAACAAAAAAAAAAAAAAAATCTAAAAACTATATGAAAAACCACAAAGACAAATTATTAAAGCAATTACAAATAACATCTATAAAGTAGTACTTGAATTTATTGTAGATCATAAATTTTATGATTTTATTATTAAATAAATATAATATTAAAATTATTATTCTTAATATAATAATAAATAAATTATAAAATTAGTTAATTAAATAATTAAATTATAATTATAAAAATCTTCAAACTAAAAACTTAATCAATAGTAAATGGCATAAATTTTTTAGAATATTAATTAAAAATTTAATGACATTGAATGCATAATATTATTTTAAGAGTAGAATATATATATATATCAATACATATTATTATATCTTTAAAATATTAACTAGTTATAATTAAAAAATAAAAATTAATAATATATATATGTTTTTAGGAATAAGTTATATTCAAATTCTAAAAAATTGAAGTTTGCAAACAAAAGCATAAAGTAAAAAAAAAAAAAAAAAAAAATTTAATAAAAAATTGTGGAATTTCTTTGTACATATTTATTAGCAATTACATATTCTACACAATGTCATTTAAGGGCATATGTTTATATTTAAGTTTAAAATATGGTACCAAATATAATATAATAACACATTAATTTAAGTTTATACAAATAACAAGCTTTTCATCACAAATAAATCATATTTTTCATGTTTATTTTCAATAAAATGTTGAAAAATTCAGATTTTTT